GCTAACTGCTATTTATGGCGAAAGAGATCTGCTTCAGGTCTGAACATTTAGTTGCAACAAATTCCACTATTATATAACGTGAGTATCAGTCTACTTGCGAATGCGTTAACAATCTCTTTCATCACTGAATCAATTGTGAGGTCGAACAGATTTTACAACCTCAGATGCTTTCGTACAGCTCACTCAGCTGCTCATTCCCAATGTCAAGAACAAGGCTGATCATTTGCCATCGTCGCAGCCTTACTTGTACAAATGGGGCCAGGCCGTGTTGGCGTGCCTCGTTGAAACCGAGAATATACCTTTAGTTATTTATTTAGGTCTCATAGTAGACTTCTCAAAGAAGCAGTATGAACTGCACCGAAAGTTGTGTTCATCGGTGACTTAAAGCTTCGGAATGCAGATTAGGACCAAGCAAGGGACTTGATGGTCCCTCTAGAGCGTCACTTGACAGGATGGATGCATGTGAATGCCTACGTCCAGCGCGTTAACCGCCCGCCTAGGAAGCTGGTTGGTTGTACTCCTTCTTTACTGGACGGTGTGATAACTGGGTGTGGCCACTTGTCCATGGTACACACCGTGGCTCCCATCGTTTAGAATGACCAATGGGTTAGTACTCTCTCCTTATATTCAAAAAGGCCTTCGGCGGAAATCTGCTTGTAAGGAAAAGGGGCCTCATTGTCCTAAGTCAGCGACTAGGTCGTGTCCTGCAGCTAGACTGGTTGTCTGAACCCGCAAAGGCCAAAGTGGAGCACAGTTGACTAGATTTAAAATGGATTGGTTCAGTAATTAGATGAGTTTGCTCCGTTAAGGCCCGGAAGGCATGGCGTCAAGCCGTGTTAGTGGCGCCGAGGAATAGCGGGAGTGCGTAAACGGCAGGACCATGCTTGAAAAAGTCTTCACGCGAATAGTGTTTAGACCTAGGCCGGATTACAATAGACGCATTCAGCAGTTAAATTGCAAAGAAAAGCGGAGTACTGCTTTGAAAGTAAATTGGCACAGGACCGGACAACAAAGCCCAGGTTGTACTACCGTTTCATTTAGTCAAAATCAGCTGTGAGCGTTGGAGTTGAAAATAGGGCAATGAAGGTTGCATGACATGTTACAAAGGAGGCTGATAAGGCTTAGTTGCTGCTGCGTGTCTTCCAGCAGGGGCATCATGTGGCTTATGTGCGTCCAGTCCCTTCGCGACCACATCGCCAAACCGAGAGTACAATGCCAGCCACTCCGCAATGGGGGTAGGAGTAATTTAATGCCCTCGCTAGCTTGGACCGGAACAAATCCGCAGGACCAAACAATGTGTATCCTGCGATTGTCAAACCACTCGCTTTCTTATTCTAGCACCCAGACTGGGCGCACTACAACACCTCACTTAGAGGAGGCTGGTTGCAACGAGATCAGGAAGGGGCATAAATAGGGGCGCTAAGTAACGGAGGCACTAAATCTGTACCCGGCAACGATAGGTTCGTCAGCCTTACACAATAGGTGCCATAAATGTTTGGAAGAGCTTATCAGCGGCCGAATTTGTAAGTACTGTTGCGCATAAATTGACAGGAGTGGAATAAGATAACCTTGACAGGAGAAATTCATGTCTTACCAAGTTGTGGCTCTTGGATGAAGTAACAAGTTGTCTTGATAACGATATTTTAGCATGGGTTTGCTGCCATGGGTCAATCAGAGTCCTTGTTTCGATACACCGCCGGTTTCTGCTATTGAGGCAGGCCTGGCTTGAGATTCATCCACAATATTTGACCTGAATTCCAACATTTCTTATAGATAGAAGCTTCCACGTTAGAGTTGTTACTGCCATCAAAAATATAAACACCGCCCAAATTGACGTACCCCAAGGTCCCGAACTAGGTCCCCGTTATTCCACTCATTCATAAGCGTCTTGGTATCTACTCTTAAGGACCCCTGGTACATCGTCGCCAATGATCTGCGACTGGATAGCGAGGTATAAGCCACACTTTGTCCCAGGATCGCTGCACTGTTGTAGAGTGGTCTGTGGTATGGTAGTTGCCCCCTATCGTTAATATGGGCCAGTAGCTGACTCCCAGCAATGGTGAGATTAAAGTGCAGTCTTCTGCTTGATTCTTGCAGAAAAGAAAAATTGGTTTGCGTGGCTAGGATACTGGCAGGTTGCCCAGACCTATACAAGGGAGGGCTTACATTTGTCAACCAAAGTCTTTGGTTCCAAAACCTGGCCCTGAGCAGTGGCATCGGCAGTAGACTGTACTGAGTCCGTTTTAAGTAATAAGAAGCAATTGTCATTCCAACAACAAGCTGGAGTGCAACTAGGCTGAGGTTATCTGGCCTCAACCCACTTAGCAATCTGGTACGAGTGGCTCGGAAGACACAAAAAGCACTACATAGCACAGATCAATCGATCACTCGGGCACACAAACTATGGCACTAGGTTAAAGTGCAGGCTCGCTTGCTTTTAACATGCTATCCCACACGCTACCGCGAGGCTGGAAATGTCTGCCGGCGGCATCTGCGATTTTCTTGACTAGAATACGACGGTGCACTTGCTCTCTCAGATTGATGTACTGCAATACCTTTGCGGCATAGCTCGAAAATCCAATGCAACATGAACTTGTCCCCGTGGTGTTGTTTAGCCTTGCCATTCCTATCACTATCACAAGTTACGCCAAAGGTAGGTTACTCGGTGAACAGTACGCAGGTTTGTATGTTCAAGTGTCATAGAGGCCGCATGTCAGCGTGAAGGCAAACGTTTCTGGGGGTTCTTCCCTGGATGAGGTCTCGTTATCGAAGGATCAATTGCTCCGGCTCCTGTAGGTTATATATACAAAGCAAGCTGCTGGGGTAGCTGCTATACAGCCCGGTCTGCTGCAGGATTTTGGTGGCAGCTGCTCGCACATGCATCGGAGGTTGCGGATGATCGGGAGGTCATTGGGAATCAGGACGATTACTATCTTCCTTAAACTTGACGTTTCGAAGGCCCCAGTTGGAATACTGTGGTCTTGCCTGTTCCCTGTGTCTCGTGCGTGACGGGATGGCATTTGTACCGCTCCTGCGGTGTAGCAAAAGTGGCGTACTGATGGAGGAAAATAACGCATTCTGAGATGCTTTGCAAGTTAAGAAGTATATGTCGGACGTCCCGCATTGTAGAAGATTCAACACGAGCTCCCCTATTCAAACGTGTCAAAACCCCTTGACCTGACGACTTTCCTCCATCTTTGATGCAAATGCCGATGACACGTCCGCAACTGGACACGCTGCCTTCAGGAGATGGCCATGGAACTCCGAGGCTGTTCCTTCGTACTGCCGACCGTCCACGGTCGTGTCATCACCGACCCGCCACGGAAAACGGGACATCGCTCCACTTACCTTGGTATTTTTATGAACTGCGGCGGTCAAGTAACTGCGCAAATTTATTTGGGCATTAGTATGGACCGTAAAGCTTTCCAGAGACTGAACAGTTGATGGAAGGCAGCGTAATATGTGCCTGTTAGTTCAAAATTGTGTGTATAGTACCGCGGCAAGACCGGTTTCCCTGTGTGCATAAGAGGTCTGGCCAGTTCATGCATAGGACATTAAATGCTTAGGTACGGTTGCGGAATATTCTTCAAGTCTGACAGCAACATTCGGTGAGCAATGCTAACGATCCGCTCATTTTCTTTGGCAACAAGGTTTGTCACTCATAGAAGTGTTTAATGGGGCCCACTGAATGACATTGGCTAGCCTGTGCTCTCCATATGCTTGTGCACCGGCTTCCACGGTGTGCACTATACTCCGTGGTTGAGCCCACTTGGACGAACCCAAGTGGTGCGTAGTGCGTGAGGTTGCATGCAGACATGAAAATTGGCTGGGAGGCAATCGGTTTACCGGGTGTTAACTTCGTTGAGCTGGGCCACCGCATAGTCCACCTATAAGGCTGGAGACCATAGCAGACGTGGCGCAGTCAATGGGGTTCCTGCATTCCACTTCCTGCAGCAGGCTGGTAAATTGCATGCAGTTCCAGTTAAGGTAAGGCTCTTCTAGCTTCGTTTTACTTTACGTTCCGTTTGTATTCAAGCCAATCATCTTGCCGTTTTTGGCCACGGTTATTCTCCATATGTGAGCCCAAGGCTTCCTACACGGCACCTAGGTGCTGCTATCAAAGTTGTTCGAATGAAGTGAACCGGTAGTGTCATGCGTCATTTTTGCAGGCGCCTTAAAGATTCTGCCCCCAGTGCTTGAACCAAGTGGCACAGCGCCGTGGATGGTGTGTTCTTTTACTCTGCAAATTTTGCGAAGATACACAGCAGTTACCTGTACGCACATTGCAGCCCTATCGTTGAGTACTTGATGCCTTCACTTTTACGGGCACTTAGCATTCCTAGATGTTCACACTTTGTGGGTTACCCGCTCACCCGCAGGGTAGGGAATATTTGTGGACTGCTTGAAAGTCATAACTCGGTAATGCATCATGGCTGGCAAGCTGCACAACCTCCTTGTAGTGCCAGCTTGTTGGTTCGGGCTTACGTCGTTTCAGCAAATAGTTCGACCGCAGTGTTCCGGACATGGTGGAATTTTGCCTAGCACGCATCATACCAACGAACATCCACAGAGGTCTGCTTAACAACCATGTGTCGTGGCCGCCGTGGCTCGCCAAAAAATAAACTCACTGCTCTGTGAATAGCCGGATAGTCCTTTCTAACCCAAGGACATCGATCTCCCATTCACACATTGCCGACCGTATCAAACATACAAGAATGGTGCAGCACAATTCTAAGCACACAGTACACATCAACAAGGACTAACCTGGACCATGGATTTATACCAAACTCAACCAGCTGCACCCAATAACTCAACGAGGTGTCCAGTAAGGATAACGACAAATTCCTTACACCCCGGCAAATTTACATAAACAGCGAAAGTAAGTCCCCATAAACTAAAAATTCTGCTCACCTGGACAATTATTCCCCCTACTCGGCCGGCCTCAGTATCCATGTCGGGCTGTGCCTGTGCTATTGGTTAATCCATTCGAGGAGTCATTCGACTGCGAATGACTGCAGAAAAAGTTGGTAGATAAGAAGCTATGCCAGTTCTACATAAACGTTCAAAGCTGCCGATGACAGTGTTCCCGGAAGTGGTGGGTTTTCGTCTGGCAAGTATTCTCCCTGTAAACAGCCACAAAAGTCCGTTTATCAACTCTGCATCGTGGCGTATTTGACGCGCCGGTAAGTAAACTCACTGCCCACAATTACACAATGGAATAACGCTTAGCATCAGTTTTCAGAATTTTACTGACACGTACAACGATGACAAGCCCAGTCTTCACATACTGTCTCCATACTATCCACCTGTTCCGGCGCAACGCTGTACTACCTTTACCTCAATTACGTCACTGGGCACAATTCCTCCTTCTTTTTATTAACAAGGTTGATTCATCACCTAAAGAAAGTCGTCGACTTTTCCACTTCTTCTCAATAGAACCTGTTTTACCGGACCGTTCCTTTGCTCTCCATGCTTTTGTTGCATTCCTTTTATTATTCGACGCTAACTTACATGCGTTTGTCCTGCTTGACTTCTTACATTCCTACAAATACGGGACTGAGGCCACGCGTCCCTGTCGCTTCTTCTGAGTAATATTCTTTTCCATAACCTGCACACCTCGTCCTCTTCTCTCCGCTTTCCACCTGCTAGGCATATGCGCAAATTTTCTTTGCTTCAACTTCATTCATAATTTGGAACGAGCTTTCATTCTCTATTGATCCGTGTTCTGCTCGCTTCTCGTCGTATTTCGCCATTTATGAAAGATGTGCAAATGCGATTTTTAAATAACAGTTACAGGTATAAGTCTACAATACTTCAGTTGTCGCTACAATTAATAGACTGCGTTCCAGATGCATGCCATTCGTCTGTTTGTGTGCCCGAAACTGTTCGTTGTCTTTCTCCTAGTTTGTTACAGGTACGGCGGCAGACACCCAAGGAAGCGTCCATCGTTTCTAGAACAGTTCCTTTATCTGGACATGAGTGGAAGATTATCATCCGTTTTACAGCTTACTAACCGGACCTATCATTCGTTACCTAGCACGAATATAATTTGTCTGAGGCTTAAACCATTAGGTTCAATTTGCTTAACACTAGCACTTCCACATACCTCTTGCTTGGCGCACTACTTTCGGCTTCGGAATACACATTCTCCTGCCGATACAAGGTCAGAACGGTTGGGCATTCTGAGCCCTTCAATCCGCTTTGCCCGCTTAACTGCCCGTGGTTTCCTATATTCAAACAATTTTACAACATACCAAGGGGGTTTGATATGCTCTTTTCGGAAGCGTATCCTAACCTTCAAGGCTTCAACAACCATTCAACATTTTTCAAGATATATCCCTAGATGACTTCACCTGGTTCTGCAGATGATCAACCCAGCATATTCAAAGAGAATATTTAGCTCCTAACCTATCAAGCAGGCAAGTCATTCGCTTAAACAGAACAGGGCCCAGGTACGCAATAGGTCCTCGCCTAACCCATCAGCCAACCCAAAAATGGTTCCCAACTTGACTGCGAGTAACCGAGCACACAAAAGTTCAACAAGCAACGTAGCCAGTTACAACTTGCCATTCAGCGGATCGACGGCAGAGTTTCCGGACGTGGTGGGTTTTCGCCTGACAAGCGCTCTCCCTCTAAAAGCCACAAATGTCCGTTTGACCACCCTGCGGCTTGACAAATGTGACACGCCACCGCCTAAAGGCACGACCCATAACTTCACACTGGCAGGTCAAGTAGCGTCACCATTCTAGATAGGTTCGTTACGCTGGAACTGCTACCGCTGCATAGCGTGTTGTCTCTGCTTTCTACGATTTCACTAATATACTGACGATATCACCGTTGACCCTTGCGTTACTTATGCACTCACTCACCATATTGTCACATCTCTCTCGAGAATGCTCATCAATTAGCTTCCAATGGATCCTTCATGATTCTCAATCTATTATTAACCGAGATATGACTGCAATATATGGTAGACCCATCGTATCCTAACAAACGGGTCCCGACCTCACGACAGCCAAATACTTATGTCGCATTTCCACCGTTATACAGTTCTAGTCATGGATATATGAACCAAGTTCTACGGTCACTGTTACAGTTGCCATAAAATGTCTGCGCGTTGTACATACCTGATCATGCCCACATGGACGTGCCTCGCATAGTCAAGAATAAAATATTGCTTTATTTAATTCACCTACTGTACTTTTCCTAATTACTCAAAGTACATGCAGTTTATCATCCCCACACTGAAGACTTTGCTCCTCATGAGTGCTTCGTCTGTTTGCAAATGGTAACATTGTTGGTCACAGCCAAATACGTACGTTATAACCTACGTGTTGCGTGACATTCTTGCTTGTAAAGTTTGCTCATGCCTGTTCGGTGGTTCGCGAAGTATTCGAGGATGAAAGGTTGGTATTTGCATGCGCTCACACGTTAATATTCATGAACGCCCCTACACAAACGCACCATGTCATGGTAAACATGTGATTTCTAAACATTCTTGATCACGCATTGTCGCGTTAACGATCATGCCTGCAAAGACGTGCCTCGCCTTGTCAAGAATAAAATCTCTACTTAGTTATTTATTTCTACTTCGATTGTCCGATTCGGTCAGACGTCGGTCATCATTTAACCGGTTACCACATCTGTCTGACCTCACTGCACTTGACTTACAAAGGTGTCGAATATCGTCACGCATACACCATTTTAGTAGTTCCGCCGCACTCCCAGCGCGATCCGCTATGTAGTCTAAGGCGCCAAGTTGGAAACCGTGTGTTTTCGGCTTTTTATTGCTAAATTTGACACCAAGCTACTATTCAGTAGAATAGTTACCCTAGGTTTGTTGAATCATTGGAACTTTCCGTCGCTCCATTAACTACGTATTCTTCCTGCCACTCCTTAATGGCGACAGGAAACGAAGTGCATGCTATAGCAGTCCGTGGGAAGACCTGGACCAAACGTAGGACTGCCACGCCGAACCAGTCTGCATTCAACAACAAGGTTTCTATCCTCCAAACGGGTACGGTAATAAAAGCTTCTGCAGTCAGTTCATTGAAGAATGCCGCGCTGTCTCTTAACAATATAGTCGAACCATTCACTGCAAGGTTGAAGTTGCCGTATGGTGATGTGTAACCCTCCGATAGAATTACACGCAAAGGTACAGCTCCTAGAGGACCAAATGACCACGCTAAAACGAGAACTTATTTCTTTCATCGGGACGTTGTCACGACCCGTCCCATTCGTGCGTCTTATGCACCCTCACGAACCTTGTACCCCAAGTAGGTCTAAAGCTGCCGGCAATCTATTATCCTCTATCGCATCGAAATTAGTGAACAGACAAACCGGCCAAATAACGTAAGACTCTTCAATGTCCCGGATAGACTTACATTGGAAAACTCAAACACCCGTTACGTACTAGCTGCACCCCAGCACCCGACTTTTACACATGTAGGCGTCTGAGGAATTGGAGCAGCAAAAAAATCTGCCGGCTTGTCTCCACCTTTCGCAGCCAGGAGCGTGAAGAAAGTTTTCGCATGATAAAACGAGTAATTAGATTACGCCTCAACCTCCGACCCATTTTACTGTAGCCGAATGAAACGGTTTTACAAAAGGCATCTGCTTTACCGAAGCATGAAAAAGGTCAAGACAGGTCAAACATGCGAAATCGCTCTACAATGGCTGCGAGTGGGTGCACTGCTATTCACTCCGCGACACTTTTTAGTGTAGCCCTGAGTCGTCTCTACGGCTCTCAACGGAGGTCCATCAGTAACAGCCGTCATCCAAAGCGCATACAAACGCCAAGCAAGGAAAATAACTGGCCTTAGCATAGTGGTTCACACTCGTCTACAACTTCCACCAATGGCATAGAAACACGCATGACAGCCTCTGAAGCGCATGAAAATGGCCACGCAAACTCAAGCGTGCAATTACCTCGTAACGTTGACATACTGTGCGTGCCACCACCCAAAACCCATCGCAGTGAGGCTGGACCTTACCGTGGTGCGATGGTTTGTGTGCCTCAGTGATCCATTGAGCTATACTGGATGGTGCTTTTGCGCCTTCAGAGCCACTCAAACCAGATGGGTCAATGGTTAGAGGCCAGAAAAACTCAGCCTCCTGGTCCCCCAGGTTAGAAGTTGGAATGAGGGTGGCTCCTTATCCCTTAAAACAGACCCCTTGTAGTCCAGTGCCAAACCCGCTGTCTTGCGGCCAGGTTTTTGAACCAAAGACTTTGGTTGAGAACCATAATCGTTCTCCTGTCTAGGCCTGGGCAACCTGACCGTATCCTGTCCACGAAATACAACGAATCCTTCCCCAAACAAATTTCTGATTCTCTCGCCACCGCAGAGGATTATCAACGGTGCCCTATCTGCTGCATCGAGCAAAGTGGATAGGGATTTGGATGCTACTGCTCAAGCCTTCCCATCTTCCTATTCCCCTTCTTGCGCTTCTTCACCCTTATCGTCCCGTTCCAGCTTTATTTTTATCCCTCTGTTTTCAACCACCCAATTCTCGGCCATCATCCACCTTGCGTCAATAGTCGCTTGTCTTTTAGTTTCAACTCACAGGTGAATGCAGAGCGTCATTTCTGCACTGGCAACAGGCCCAGGTCTAAGCAAGCGGCCCATTCCAGTTCATCGGCTTCCATTTGGAGCCCTTGACCCTCCTTCACACTGCCGTGCCTCAATGTTCGCAAGTTGCTTCAGCTCGGTCAACAGGCAGTACTTGCCCGAACATTGGAGACTCTCTCGATTGATATCCGCTGTTCATCAGTG